AGGCGGAGGCGGTCGGGCCGGACGGCGGGGCGGATCGACGTGTACTTTGTGAGGTGACGCGGGGGCGGGTTCCCGGGTGGAGCTGCCGCCCAGCGCCGGGCAGACCCGTTCGTCCCCCGGTAGTACGGGCACGCGCTCGCGTGTCATCGCGGGTGTGCGCGCTGTGAGGAGCTTACGAGGTGAAGAGCGTAACCTGTAGGACTGTCTGTAAACGCTTTGTGTCAGCCTTTTGTAGTCAAATCACAGGAGATCGTCTAGACGTCACCCTGTCAGCTATTTTTGTCATTTGTTTTGGTTTTTTAAGTACTAGAATAGGTCTTTAAATGAAGAGCAAGAAAATGAAGCAGTCATTGCTAATTTACTTTTCTTTCATACCGCAGTCCTGAAGGAAACAAGATAAGATCGAAAAGCGCCCTTGTGAAGTATTTTCTGAAAACTGGGGAGATGACGCTAAAAGCAGAAGATTTTGATTTTACAGCTCCTTACCAGAGGAATACCCATTCGAGGGTGAAAAGACATAGCGCAAAAGCTGCGAGAACTGTTTTAGAGAATGGGGGTTGCCACAATCAAGTGCAAGAAATCAGTATACAGAACGGTGCAGAGGGTAGAATTCAGAACATTCAGACTGGCAGTGAACACCTGGAAGATGTTACATCCGCTCTGGAAAGTGAAAATTTGATCATGAAAGGCATAAACCCAGAGGGCTGTTTGAAAACGAAAAAAAAGGGGGCAGGTAGAAAAAGTGTTCAGAATAAGAAAACTGGAAAGAGCTCAGAAAAGAGGAATCGAGATAATACCCAAAACAAAAGACAGAGAAGAGTATGTAATAAACAGGAAACTGAGTGTGTTCAAAACAAGAAATTCTGTAGAAAGAATAACATGCGTGTTGCCGATGGTCAGGGCGTAGATGATCTGAATACAGACCCTATGGATGCAGGAAAAGCTCTATTAAGAATGACCAGGTCACAGTCAGACATGCAGCTACGGTCAGTGACACCTCCCTCGCAAAGAGAGTTGCAGAGCTTAGCAGAGGAGGAACGGGTGGAGACAGGTTCCAATGACGCATCTTTTGCGACATCTGAGAAGAAAACCAATGGATTGAAAATTTTTAAAGAGACAGATCGAGGGAATCGGCGTAACCAGGATTTTAAATCTGACACTGAAACAGATGCTATAGTCTTGCAGCCATGTGACAAGACAAGCTTCACAGCAGTTAAAATCCCACCAGGTATATGTGTGTTTTTGAGCAGAGTATTATCCTGACGTTCTGCCAGGGGTTCTCCTAACTATACGAGCAAAGTATTCTGTTTCAGGTCAAGCTGCTTTGACATCTGGGTCTGTCTCATTTCTTTATCCAACAGCATTTAACTTAATGCAGATTTATTCACAACTGAAGCTTACTCTACAGATCTCTTTGGCTATATAGTACAATATAATTACGTTCATTACCTTCACTGTGCGAACTCTTCTAATGTTGCACAATTGGTCAGCTTGATTCACAAAAAAGGCTAGTTCTAGTTTGTTTCATGTGCTAGAGTTTGTGGTTGTAGTTTGAGCCTGTTCCTCAGACTGTGGCAAAGTAACGGTTTATCTTCTGAAGATTTTTCATAGAGTTGAAATACAGAGGAGTACTGGAGTGAGTCTAAAGGACGTTTATGTTCTGTACACCCACAAGAAATTGTATTTCCATCACAACATAAAGTGGAAATTGTGTAGGAAACATGATAGCAAAATACTTGGGTGTTTTTTTTCTTTTTAATGCTGAAGTATTATTTCTTTACAGAAGAGTCCATCTCACAAACACAAGTGGATAGAAGGAAAACTAGTCCATATTTTTCGAGTAAATACAGTAAAGAAGGTATGATATTCTTTAGGGAAATACATTTTTTTTTTTTATGGGGGAGGAATAGGGTGGGTCAAGATGAAGTGGCGTTACAGAAAATTTCTTCCAGTTTTAGGCTGGCCATGTTTAGGTGGCATCAGAGAGCTTGGCTTACTGCGTGAGTGCTGATCTTGTCCCATTTTAAACCTCAGTGGTTTGTATCTTGCAAACAACCATGAAGGCTGGTATCAAATGCCTTGGAAGCTCTTTCAGCAACTGTGAGGTGGTGGAGTGCATGGGCTTTGGGGAAGTTCTCTTCAGACAGCTGCGGTGTTTCCCCTGCCGGGGGGAGACCCTGTACCCTGTGGCTGCTGCTCTGCCCCTGCACAGGAGCATGGCGGTAGCTGGGTGGGGCCTCTCTCCTCAGAAAACATACGTAGCGTGGAACAGGGGGGCACACATGGGCAGCCTTGACGTACTGCAGTCTGTGCCAAGGGATGCACAGTCCCTTGCAGTTCTGTAAAATGTGTGTGGGAGTTGCCATTGCTCCATCCACATACAGTGGCCTTGCAGAGATGAATCTGCTTCAAGATTTTAAAATTATTTTCATTTAAATAGGTAAATCTGTCCTTTACTGTCCAATAAATTTTCCTGTATTGCCTCTGTGTACAGCTCCCAGCCCACCTAGAAGGAAGGCCTTCAGAAAATGGACTCCTCCGCGTTCTCCTTTTAATCTGGTCCAAGAAACGCTTTTTCATGATCCGTGGAAGCTTCTCATTGCAACCATATTTCTCAATAAAACTTCAGGTAAATAAATAGAGTAGTACAATCTCATGTTGTATAAATGTTAGGGTGGTGTTACAGGGTGAGAACAACTGCCCTTTTTTAATGCCATTAATGAAAGAATAAATGTATACTAACTTGTGTCAGTGTGAAAAAAAAAAAAAAAATCTTTAATTTGTAACTCTTGCCTCTGAAAAAGCTCACTTCAAAAAGCACACATAGATAACCAAAAAAGAGAATTACCCTTTTGATTGTCTTTTTCACTAGGTAAAATGGCAATTCCTGTGCTCTGGGAGTTCTTTAAGAAGTATCCTTCTCCTGAAGTAACCAGGATTGCAGACTGGAAAGAAATGTCAGAGTTGCTCAAACCTCTCGGCCTCTACGAACTCAGAGCAAAAACTATCATCAAGTTCTCAGGTAGGTGGTCCTGAATATGTCTGTGGAATGGTCTAAATTGTGCTAGCAAGGCAAACTGCATTATTTTCAAACAATGCTCTGGGACTTGCCTTCTGTTTGGTAAATGGCAGTGGTGGTTTATTTTATGCAACTTTGGGGTATGTTGGTCTTACATATGCAGAGCTGCTGATCATGTTGTCTTAGCTGAGAGTGAAATAACATACACAATGAGTTCTGCGACAGACCGTTGTCTGGGAGACTTCTTTGAGTGGAAAAAGATACATACACCTGCAAGACTGATTTTGTGTTTTGCAGCACTGTGATAAGGTGGCTCTGCTCTGTTTTGCATCAGGTGACCTCCAGAATTTTTCTGTGATTCTGATATTTTCTATACTTAGAATAAAAGTATTGCTCTGTGAGTTCTGAGGAGAGAGATTTAATTAAAACTCACCCACAGTGGTTTGTTGAAAAGGTGCTTAAGATGTACCCCATAGGGATTCATCACCTACTTTCACCAGGAAATAGCTAAAACTTGTGTTTTTCATTTAAAATGTTCAAAGTGGAGACGTGTTACAGTAGCAGAGAATCGGGAGTTTGTCCAGAGTTGCTTTCTGCGACCTGCCTGCCTGCAGGCAGTGAGGCCTGTGACCGTACGTTGCAGATGAGTACCTGAGCAAGCGGTGGAAGTACCCCATTGAGCTGCACGGGATCGGCAAGTATGGGAACGACTCCTACAGAATCTTCTGTGTCAACGAATGGAAGGAGGTGGGTGCTGCTGCCGTGCTGCCAGGGCTTAGTCTGCAGCGGGGCGTTGGCGTCGCTGGGCTTGTGCCTAAGGACTCCCTTGGATTAAAAAAAAAAAACAGATAGCAATTTTTATATCTTCAAGGGGTTGAATTCCCAGAATGTACCTTTCACAAGTCTGAACCTGTAAATGGAGACTTGTGTCACGTTGGTGTCACCTTGATTTCCCCCCCTGATAATTTTCCACTTTTGCTGTGTTCTTATTTCCTTGATGTGGGGGTGAGAGTCTCTTCCCTGTTCGGTTAAGAACCAGATTCCCTGTGTTTCCTGCCAGCCAGATCCTGCCATCCTTCCGAGGTTGGTGTTGGTGGGGCCTTTGCCGTGTGGGTCCGATGGTGGTACGTGGCTGTGCGGGGCAGCCGAGGGGCCGTTTGCTGTCTGGCATAGGGCCCCCTTCCCATGCACGAGGGGTGTGTGGTTTCAGGGCTGACCAAGCGCTGTATTCCATGGTTTAGGTAGGTGGAGGCCAGCTTGCCACGGCACGGCATTCCACTGCTCCCTGTGAGGGACAGAGGGCTCCTCAGCTGGGAGGAGAAATACGTCAGAGCGGTGAGGTGTTTTAAGAGAAGGTGTTTTGGTAAATGTTCCACACTTTCGCTATGTTTTAGGTGCAGCCGCAGGACCACAAGTTAAACGTGTACCACGCGTGGCTCTGGGAGAACCGGGAGAGGCTGAGCATAGACTGAGGAAGGCCGGGAGCGCGCCTCCTCTCTGTCCTCGCCAGCTCGCTGGGTGCAGTGCACGTCCTCACAGTGTTGCTCCGATCGTCAGGTTCTTAATTTAAATATTTGTGTGACACACCCAGCTCAGCTCCTCCCTGTGATGAAATGTTCAACGTCTCTGTATTTTTTTAATAAATGTATCCCAG